TTGATGAAAACATTCAATTATTTCGAATACAGTTATTGTTGGCATTAATTCAAAACCTTGTGTAACTTTCAAAGTACTGAGCATTTCTTTATGACGATGAAACATTCCAGCACCACTTACAGCTGGTAAACTAATTGAAAGTGCTGGTAAATCAAGTTTTGCAGAACGATAATGAGCAAGTGCATCAAGAAATTGATTACCAGCATTATAACCAGCAGATGCAACTTCAAGTAAATGATTACGAATTGATGAAAACATAGTAAAAAAATGAATAGGAGCATGAAGAAGTTGTGTAGCTTGATGAAGATACCATGCACCACGAACTTTTGGTGGTAAAACAAGTGATAAATGTTCTTGTGTTAAATTATTTAAAGTACGATCTTCTGAAACAACAGCACTATGAATAATACCACGAATAGGATAAGAAGTTTTTTGAAATCTTTCAATTAAATCATAAACTTGTTGAAAATTTGTTACATCTGCTTGAACAACATCAACATGAGCATTATATTCTTTTGTTGTTCGTTTTAATCTTAACCAATCATCATATTGTGGATTCGAAGGTTGTTCAAGTTGAACTAATGTTCGACGACTCATAAGTGCTATATGTTTAACACCTCGTTGTTCAATCATCCATCGAGACATTGTTAAACCAAGACCACCGAAACCACCAGATATTAATATTGTTCCTTGATTACAAACTTCTGATGAAAACATTTTATTGTCACTTACAACTATTGAGTAGGAAAAAATGAAAAAAATAAAAATTGAAAAAAAAGAAAGATATGATTACCTTTTAATAAACTAGTTGATTGTTTTTTTATTAATAGTTAATGGTTGATCAGATGAAGTTATACGAAAAACAGTTTTACCCATAACTTGACCACTATTACATCTTAATAATGCTTCTATTACTTGAGATGGTTCATAAGTAACTGTTGGTTCAACAGCACGCAATTTATGTTGTATAAATAAATCAATTGCTTCTTCTAGCATAACACGAATAAGAGGTGATACATGATCAGCAAGTCCAGCGAAGTCAATCACATGAAAACTACAATCTGTTCGTAATTGAAACATTGATAAATTACCATTATGATAAATATCTCGTTTACCCCATTCAACAAAATGACCGTGATATGCTAATAATTTAATTGATTCTTTTAATAAATTACCAGATAATGAATTAACAATAACATCAATACCTTGTGGAAGAATTTCACGTATATTATTAACGAAAGAAGTATCTCGGCTATTAAATACATCTTCAATGCCATAATATTCACGAAGAAAACATCGTTTTTCTTCAGTTCCAGCTGTAGCAATAACACGAGCACCAATATATTGACAATATTGAATACACATTTGACCTGCAGCACCAGTTGCAGCATGAATAAGAACAGTTTGATTAGGTTGTAAACGAACACGATATTTAAGAGAATATATAACTGTTAAAAATGGAGTTGGTAGACCACATAATTGTTCATCAGTAAGAGGAAAATCAGATGGAATACGTACCATAAGTTGTGAATTAGCTATAATATGAGAATGATATGTACTATTACTAGTAACACCTACAACATGATCACCAACTTGAAAACTAGTTGTAGGACATGCACGTACAATAGTTCCAACAAAATCTGAACCTAGTTCTGTATCTCGATCAACTTTTGGTTGATCTTCATCAGATTGTGCAAAAGTACGTGTATGTGGATAAAGACCACGTGCTTTGAGTACATCACGAAAATTAATACCAGCACAATGAACACGAACTTCCGCCCTACCAGGTAATAATTCTTCTTCTCTATCTTTTTCAATCCATGATAATTCAGAAAGAAAACGAGATGGTGGTACACAAATACGAAATGGTTTTTGATCAGCATCTCGTTTAGGAATAATAGAAGTTTGTTCTAATTTAGATTTCTCTTGTTCATCATCAACAGATTTTAGTAACATTTCATAATGCCATGTTAAATGTTGAACTTCATTTTGATTTGTATCATTAAGACGAAGAACAACTTCACAAGTATCAGTTGAATATCTTGAATTAATCAT